TCTGCACTCCAGCAGAACTCTCGTCAGGGCTCACCACAGAAATCAGAGGATCAGCTGTTTGTGGACAGTCCGGTCCCTCTACTTGGGAAATTGGAGCCCCATGCCCGTTACCGAATCAAACGGAGGTTTTCAAACATAATTTACAAGGAACTTGCAGAGAAGGAAAATGCGCCACCATCCAATGTGCAGTGACCTCACTCCATGCAATTGTGTATATATGTAAATAAAAGTGTTGTGTGAATCTCTTGTGTCTATGTAGATACATTTCCTAGGTTCTTTTTAATCTTGTCATTAAGAGGCGTAGTTGTAGAAGAACCATACATTACAGAATAAATGAGCAGATAGAAAATTTACTTTGGCCCTTTAACAGCATATATAGTGACATTGTAGAATTCTCCACAGCTCTGAGAATGTATAAGGCGAGTACAAAAAATTTCTATAGTTTGTTTCAGCCCTTAGCACCTGGTTGATGAGGGAACAAGGTTTGTTCAATGTTTAATAATAATCTTTATTTATATAGCACTTTTAAAAACAGTGTTTACAAAGCGCTGCACAGTAAGCATGATAAACAATAAAAACAGTCATAATGCAAGGTCAAAATAATTAGATACAGAAACACAAAGCAAACAGAGCAAAACACAAAAGAGACTCAACAAAGACAAAGCAGACAATAAAATACAGCATCGGAAGTTTAAAACTAACAGTTAAAAGCTGTTTGATAAAAGTGGGTTTTAAGAAGAGATTTAAAAGAGGATACTGATGGTGCGAGCCTTATCTCCTCGGGCAGCCATTACTTTCTCTTGTCTCTGTGATATGCTACGGTTGTTTACTGTTGTATGCTACATTGGTCACTAGATGGCGTGAAAACGGCCCTAAATCAAGGTTCGTTTTAAACAGTTTAATTACACTGTATTATGATTAAGCAAGTAGGGATAAGGGAACAGCAACTTCACATTGTAGAATTCTCCAAAGCTCAGGTAATATAAGGCGCGTACTAACATGTTACCAAATTAAAGTACAGAGGAATGTCTTTATATGACGATAACAAATGTTGAGGGCCCAATGTTAATATGTGCCATACTCGCACAAACAGTAAGGGTTTTAGTAATATCAATTGGAGTACTAGGGAACAAAAATAATATTCTGAACTCACCTACATAAAGTCTATTTACATGATCGCAGTTTCTAATATTAAAAAATTAATACTCTATCTTTAATGTGGTGTGTGTTAAACAGAGTATTTCTCATGCACAATATTCTCTATGACTCTGTGCACGAGAAAAGGTACGAATGGACTAATCAAAGTATGTGGTACTTTATTTTCCACTAGTGAACCATTCCATTCCAAAGCTAAATGTCTGATTTGACATTGCCTATAATCGGGGCTGAATAAGAAGGATCATAGAGTAACGTTTCAAAACAAAACTAGGTACTATGAACAACTTTTAACTTGACTTCACGTCTCGTTAGCTGTAAGTGTTTACCTAAAGCGTTTTAAATTAAAACATACATTAAACAGAAACAACACTTCAAGTAAGGCAAAAATTTATTAGCGCTAACAAAATGGTGACAAAGAACAGAAATGCAGTCAGTTTCTTTCGGGGAAACCTGGCTATGTGCGTTGCCAGTGCACTGCTCCTTCCTCTGTGAAATGGGCTTTGAAAACCTCCCTCACTCTCAACGCCGCTCTGGCAGCATAGTTGGCTCCGATACGACCTAGATCAGGAAGTGGGTCGGGTGCTGCAGGTCCTGCCTGCGGAGGAGCTGCCATTTCCGCTGACGGCCGCATGAAGTTGTGAAGGACACAGGTTGCCTTAACACACTTCTCCACAACTTCGGGACGGATTTCCAGCTCCCGATGGAACATCCTCCACTGGGACGTCCAAATCCCAAAAGCGTCTTCCACTACCAGTCGAGCCCTGGAGAGGCGGTAGTTAAAGGTGTTGCTTTCAGGGGGAAGACCGCCACGGCCGGGATAGGGACGCATCATGTGCCGCTGCAGTGGGAACGCTTCATCGGCCACAAAGACATAGGGCTGGGGCCCTCTGTGGTCAGCGCCTGGAAGGCACTGGTCAGGAGGCAGCCGGAGAGTTCCTTCCCGCAGGGCCGTACCAAAGGCAGAGTTGCCCAGGATCCCCCCGTCGCTGTTCCTGCCATATCCCCCAACGTCAACCACGCGAAAGCGGTACTGGGCATCCACAACAGCGAGGAGCACCAGGGAGTGGTAACCCTTGTAGTTGTAGTACAAGGAGCCAGCGTTCGGAGGGGCCTTCATGCGCACATGTTTACCATCCACGGCACCACAGCACAGAGGAAAGTTCCAACGCCTCTCGAACTCCCCTGCAATGGAGCGCCAGTCGTCTGTGGTGGGAACCGCCATGAACTCCTCCACCAGAGAGTCCCAGATGGCCGTAACTACCTCGGGGACAACTTTGGAGACAGTGGACACACCGACCCTGAAGCTGCTCCCGATGGTAGTATACGTCTCCCCAGTGGCAAGGAACCTGATAAAATAAACAGAAGACATTAATTGAATGTGCACATGGAGTGAGAGACAAATGTCCCATAACAATAAAAAGGTGCTTTGTGACTGGTCTGTGAAAGGCGCTATATACATGAAGAATAGACACAAACACACACACACACAGACACACAGAGAGAGACAAGGAAACACAGACAGAAATAAACACACACAGACAGACTCGCTTCCACCCTCACCATGTGTGGAATGATTGGAACAATATCTGAACTCTGAACATTGTGAAGCGCTTTGGGTGACCTTGGTCTGTAGAATGCGCTATATAAATAGACATTACTTACTTATAAAGACACGCACAGAGACAAAGACACACACAAACAGACCGAACACACACACAGAGACAAAGACACACACAAACAGACCGAACACACACACAGAGACAAAGACACACACAAACAGACCGAACACACACACAGAGACAAAGACACACACTCACACACACAATTACTGACCGTAGGCAGATGGAGAGGCGCTCTGCAGGAGAGATGGAACGTCTGTAGTTGGTGTCTTGGTGAGAGATTCGTGCACCTACGCGGCCCAACAGGTCATCGAACCGGGCCACCGTGAGACGGAAGTGCCGCTGAAATCGCACCTCATCCAGCCGCAGCTCTTGTAACAAATGGTGGAACTCGCCATACTCTGACCGTCTCTGGAGGATATCGTGAACCCAGACACGCCGTTGTGCACGCCGTCGTTCAAGAAGTCTATGAACCAAGTAAACGAACGCTTGCTGCCTCGCGTGATCCGCCATCTTGTTGAGTTGTTGTGAATATGGAAAGCCCGCCCATACGCCTCACGCTTCCGGCGGAAGTGTAGTGAGGTGGGCGTGCTTGTGTTCGTGCGTCGTTTGGCGGTGTGCAAGCCTCTGCTTCTGAAAACTAGAGAATGCGCGTCTGGTAAGCTGGGCTGGTGCGTTTCAGCGTTTTCGGTCTGAAAGCCCCATTAGTCTTTTATTTCGGCTAGAATTACAATTACTTAGCATATTTAGACAAATAATTTACACAGTTTCATTATGATCACGATTTCCTTGCAACATCAAGTTCTGGTTTAGTGAACAATCAATTTGGCAAAAGGCTGTATCAGCGCAAAATACATAGCGGTCAACTGACCGCAGGGGGCGGTGCAAGGTATGTTAAGAGCGCGGCGGTCCTAGTGTTAAAAGACACGATCCCAGACACTGTCATCTTCTTCAGGTGGTGGAGGATGGGGCATCGTCTGTCAACATCTTACACAAAAATGTCTTTTTTTGTTAAAGACAAAACTGAAAAACCTCAAGAGAATAACTTGAGGTTAGGGTTAACCTCAAGTTACAGTTAACCTCAAGTTAACCCTAACCCTAACCCTAACCCTAACCCTAACTTGGACAATCTGCACAGCCCGATTCCAATCAGGCCTGCTGTGAGCTGCTGAGACATGGACAATACCATCGTCCTCCCTTGCATGGACATCATTTGGAACACAATTGAATTGCTGAATCTGGACACTAAAGCTGAAACGTGTGATTGAAAGGCACGTCACAGAAGAATTCATGGCTCCACACGAGAAATGCAGCCTGAAGAAACCAACACGGAGAAGTGGGAGAGACTGTTTTCAAAGCAATATCTGAGAACCATCGACTGATGAAGTTTGGCATTTTACTGAAGATTGTTCACAAGTTTTCTGAGTTTTTTGTGTTCCGAGTTCTGAGTTTTTTGAAGTATTGAAATTATGAGTTTTGATGATGTTATGTTGCTGTTTATCGATCCTGATGGTCACACATGAGGGGGGAATTAAGGTATTTCATGATACTTTGAAGCAACTGTGGTTAAAGTTCTAACTCATCATTCTAACATAAGCCAGTACTTTTCCACTGCATGTTTTGGTAATATTGAAGCTGCTGGCATCGCGGTGAAAGCCGATTGGACGGTGTTCATTCCTCCATGCTGTATATTATCATTTGCAGTTTGTAAAATCCTTTGTTCGTGTTCATGTTCATGCTGTCACCCAACGACAATAAAACATGTCTTCTGTCTGAAATAAAGACACAATCCCAGACTTTGTCATCTTCTTCAGTCACTTACTGACACGGGCAGAGATCCGCGTGTAGTCAGCGTCGTGCTCTGGCTTCCCGTGGGTCCTCCCTTGCAGGTACTGCTGGCTGCCACTGCCGTCCTCGGTCGCCTCCTCTCCTCTGTCGCACCAAACGCTCCAGTCCCTTTTTAAATCTGTTGGTTTGCACTGCAATCTTGAGTTCCTGGTCTCACTTTTAAAACTAGGTGGCGTTGCTTTAATCTAATACTCGGTCACAGCATTTTTGGCGTTGTCTGGCAGGACCCGGTACCACTGTTTTTATTTTGCAAATACAAAGGGCTTGGGCTCCGTGGAGGAAAGATGGGTGCGTGCTGCAGCAGGAGGACCTGACCGGGCGCCAAGCCAGAGAGGAGCACCACACCCGCGACCCGGAGATAGAGCACCACAACGCATGATACGAGCAGGGGCAGACATGGAAGTCTGCCTGGGCTGTGAGTATGGGCATGTGGTGGAGTGGTGCTCGTGGAAGGCCTACGGCCCAAGGGTCACGGATGCGTGGGTTTGGGCTGGCCTCTGGTGTGTGTTTGGTGCAGGTGGCCCACCTGCACCAACGACGGCAGTAGCGGCAGGTGCAATAGTCGGCGGCCCATCCGGTAAAGACGCGGCGGAGGCATGCAGCGGTGGCCAGGGAGAGATGCGGCGGTGGCGTGTGGAGGGAACCCCCTCCCCAGCGATGAAAAGGCACTGGTGTTCCCGAACTAGCAGGGACTGCTATTGTTAAAGTATCGTGTCGGTGGGTGCAAAATGGGTGGTGGGTTTTAATAAGGTTTTATTTATATTTTTCTGCATGTTGTGTGTTTTTAACATAATTTTTTTACTTGCACCACCCAAAGCACCCCGGCTCCCCACGTGACTACAATTAGAACACCTGTGCCGTGCGTACAAAAGGAAATGGGGAGGGGACGGAGAGGAAAAAGGCCAGAGAGCGAGACACGGAGGCCAGCCCCAGGAGGGGAAGAGCCCCGTGGTCTGGCGGCCCAGACCGTGGACAAGTGGATGTTATTTTAGTCTATTTTAGCCTCTGGTTTTAGCTTGGGTTTTTATTGCTTTTATTCTTTTATTCTTTTACTTGTTTTTATGTGTTTATAATAAAACTTTGTTGTTGTTGTTGCTTTTAATTCAGTGGTCTTCTTTTTAAACCCGGGTCCAAAGAACCTGCTCTTTCACATCCGACATAAGCAATACAAAAGTAGGAGATAATACACGGCGCTCCTTTCACACATTTGTATTTTTTAGGTCGAGAAGTTGTTCAGAATTGTAGTGTGTCGTCCCTCTTTGAAATGATTGAATTTGTTCAAAAATAATTTACCAATAATAAAGTACTTTGTTCAATGGATCATCACTGCACATACGTCTACTCAAGGCTCTTCCTGTATCTTCAATATGAAATAAAAACAAATTCACAAAGTATTTTTAATCAAACAACCCCAAGTGTAATAATTCATTATGAAGAAATTTTCCAGGGGCATCACCTGAGCTTTATATTTGCTCAAATGTACAAAATAATTCCTATACTCATTTGTTCAAAAACAAATCAATTAATTGAATAAATAATTGCTGACTCAGTTTTTATATTTTTAAGTAGGTCTGTGAAGCATTTTTTTCCCATGTAAATCAGAGCATGTTTGAATTCCATCGTCCATTTTTTTTCTTCTTTCAGCTGTCAAAGCCACACCCGTATTTTAATTGCCACCTCTGACAATGTTTTGACACATGGATGTCAATTTGCATACTATAACGACACAAAATGTGCATTGCAAAATTAAAAATGATGATGTTTCTTTCCACCAGCATTTTTGTGATCACAAAGTTAAAAGGAGACATACTATGCTTGCTATTAATAAGCCAGTGTTTTATCAGGCTATTTAGGAGTTATCTTCTCTAGCTATTCCATTGCGGAAGAGGGTGTTTAGCAGAATTTGCAGTAGCAGGATGAAATGCACCTTTGACATATGGGATTTTCTTATCACAAAGAATTCCCAGCCTTTCCGTATGACAAGCGATACGATGCAGTGTGATTTTCCGCATATGGGATTCAGATAAAGCCATTGGGATCTGCAGTGGAGTATGATAAGACGGAATGTGTCAGAGTTTGTGAAATAGAGGCAACACAGATTAACCACTGTTCACAGGAAATAAATCAGTTATAAAAAGTAACCAGGGGCCGTATTCCTAAAGAGTCTTAGTGCTTAAGCCTAGTGTATACTTGCGCGGCGCGGGTTACGTTAGCAGTTGCGGTGGACCTCCGCAAGCACATTTGTGTTTATACTTGCGGAGTTTTGAGGAGAACATTGTAATTCCACAATCAACCACACGATGGCGATCTCACAGGAGCTGCTTGAGATACCAAAGCGGTCTCATTTACGCTGCTTCTTTCTCCTCTTCAGAACAAAAACATGAACAAACCGAGCTGTTTGAGATCATTACATGTGTTTCTACTGTAGGTTTATGTGATAGTTCTATGGACTCATTATTTCTTAACTCATTTAACTGTGATGTTGTGAATAAAGACAGTTCTTGTTGGAAACAGTTTTTATTAAATTGTATTCAGCATAAACAGCAAAACAATAAGTGGTAAATATCTGAGGCAAACATGAACGATTTAAAAGTGCAGGAGGAATGGAACAGACGCAATAAGCTACGAGTGCAGATTCAGACAAAGACAGGAACAGTGCAAAACAAACGACTGCACAGTTTATAAGTTATATATATGTTAGACAGTCCACAGTCTCCCCGTATATCAGGCTCTGAGCCCAAACTGCTTTTCCTTCGAAGCACAAAGCAGTCTGCTCCATAGTGCCTCGTCCATTGTCGCTGCTGCAGCCGCTTCATGCTTCCGCTCAAAACACACACACGGACCAATCACAGCGGAGCTTCCTTGCGGCAACCCTTACGTAGTTAGAACATTTTGATGCTGCGCGGGGGGCAACGTAAGGGCCTTGCGGTGACCAATGCGTTGCGCAAGTGACGTCACATCACCTCCGTGCCGCGCGAGTATACACTAGGCTTAAGAGTTGCTACTAGAAAATTCTTAGAATCTTTACGAACTCTTAGAATTTCTCCTAAAAGTGAAGAGTAAATCCTAGTTAAGAAAAAAGCGGACTTTTAGTGACTTAATAGTTCCAAGAGGACAAAATGGCGGATGGAAGAGGCACGAGAGATATTTTACACATCATGTTTGTGGTATATTCGAAAGTCAATCATGTGACCAGCTTCTTACTGACTGGTCTGCAATCACAGTTGTGCCATTGTACCCTTATTGCTGTACACCAAAGTGAAAAGAAATGATTAAAGTGGACACATTTTGTATGATGATTTACAAGTATAACTTACTAATCACAGCATTCATTTTATATGTGCCATTTCTATCATCTCTTTATCTATCATTTATCAATCATCCATCTATCTATCTACTGTATCTTTTATGCGTGATAATATTTTCAATGACAGTCTTTCTAAGATTAGATTCCATGATTGAGTTTGTCCATTTGAGGGTCCTTATTTTGCCCATTATCACCAAAAGTAGGTTTTCTCGAACTTTTAGGATCAACCAATCACAGAGTCTGAAATTATGACTAGCAACGGGGTCGGCCACGCCTCCTTACTAAGATGGGAGTTTTTGTCCATTGCTTGCTTCTCTGAGTTCTCTGAGAATGTTCTGGAACAACTTTTAAGCCAAGGCTCTTAGCTAGGAGTTTTTTGGTTAAGTTAGGAGCTCTCTGAGAGGACTCTCAGAATCTTTAGACATACAGCCCCAGGTCTCTTGTTTATCTCACAGAAAAATCATGTAGATTAAATGACCCAGTACTTTCACAATCACAAGTAACATTGTGTTCAAAAGTAAATATATAAACCCTCTAGATCGCGCTGTACAGCTCTGGACAGAGCAGTCGCATTCTCTTGCTGCTCCTCGCTTGCTGCTTTTTTCTCCTTTAATCATTTTTGCTTACATTTTTATTCCACAAAACACGGATTACTCCTTTTTACAAACTTCAACACAAGACTTGTGGAATTTACCTAACTTACAGCATGTCGGGAGGACGGGAAAAAAGAACAAAACTTTGCGACGGCTGTTTTTCACTCAAACAGGAGCTAAAACTTCTTCAAGACCGAATGTTTGTGCTTGAATCAGAATTGGGGCTGAACACAACAATACCAGTGAAAGGAAATGGACCAAATGGACAGCACGTAAGTTATGATGACGCTATTTCATTTCCCAAAATCAACAGAGACAATTGTTGGAACACATATGGTGCCAAACCCAAACAAGGCAAAGCTAATGATAACAAGAGTGTCATAATGCCACAGCAAAAATCTTTAATTACAAGAAACCGCTTTTCACCACTTTTGGAAGATGAATCAGCAGTAGTCTCTCAGTCCCAGTCTCAGTCTCAGTCAAGGTCAAATACAGCGGAGTCGCTCTTTATCGGGGATTCGGCGATAAGAAATGTAAATATGCGTAATCTCAAGGTTCACTCAGTACACTCTGCCAAAGTGGATGAGATAAGGCTGTTGGCTCCAAGGCTTCTGTCTGAGACCGGCGGGGTAAAAAGATTGTTGATCCACGTGGGGGCAGTAGACGTCTATGACAACACAAGTGAAAAGTTGAAACGGGATTATTCTCTCTTATTGGACGACCTTGCTAAAATGGATACAACAATCGTTATCAGTGGCCCACTACCAAATGTGGACGGGAAGCAAATGAAATTCAGTCGTCTGTATCAGCTAAATACTTTCCTACTCAACGAATGTTCACGCAGAGGACTTGCCTTCATTGAGAATTTTAATCTGTTCTGGAATAGGCATGAGCTTTTTGAAGGGAAAGGGCCACATCTGAACACTTACGGAGTAAAAGTGTTGATGGATAACCTTTCTTTTGCCCTGAGACCTCAGCCTGCGCAGCGCGTGCAGCCATCAAAAGGGAGGAAGCCAACTCCAAAAGTCTCTGCACCTCCACCACCTCAAAGGATCTCAACACCACCACCACCTCGAAGGATCTCAACACCATCACCGCCTCAAAGGATCTCAACACCTCCACTGTCATCAGATGCAGCTGCATCATCACCAGCAGCAGCTGCATCATCACCAGTAGCAGCACCAGCAGCACGACCACCACCACCAGCCTGCTCCAAAGCCTGCTCCAAAGCAGCCACGCCTTCTTCATCTACAGCGCCTCAGAAGCCCCCATCCTCACCCCAGCCTACAGCAGACAGGCCTGTGCGGGGGTTTCCTCAACCACCTGCCCCTCCATCAAAGACTCCCTCGCCACCTCCCATGGACCTGTCTTGGGTCCCCCCTGCCACGTCCACTCCATCAAGAGAGAATGGGGACACCTCCCTTTGTTTTTCATCCCCGCCTTCACTGTTAGACCTACCTGAACACTCTGCAGGGCTAATAAAATCGGCCATGAAGACTATTCCTCTCACACCCATATTAGCTCGATCTAGAGTCCTGTCCAACATTCTAAACCACTCCCCATATGTGCCTCCAAAACCACCTAGGGTTTCCAATTCACCTATAAAAACCACCTCAGCCAGTCCCTCCCCTAACCTCATGACCATTCCACCCCCACTTCCCCCTCGTTCAACATCCAAAACCTCTGCCTCAGCCCACCCCGGCCCTAACCCATCACCTAAAACCCCTCCACCTCCCTGCCCCCCTCGTTCAACACCCAAAAGCCACCCACCTCTCCATCCTCCTCCCCTGCCTTCCCCTTCCCCT